GGCACCACTTTCTCCGCCAAGAAGGACTCCTGTAGAGATGTCAGATATGGTGCCATCACCTGCCCTGTAACTATTTATGAAATATTTGATTTACTTATTTTCCTTTTTATTTTGTACACATTTTTTAATTTATTTTTTTATAGACATGTTGAATTTGGTGCAAGCAGCGGGGCAAGCACACCCAAATCCAAGCGGCCTGTGTGAGTATTTATCAGAAATTTTTAAATGTTATTTCATTTTTATGTTAAGTTTATATATTATTAAATATTTATTTTATTTTTTGGCTGTTGGCTGTTCTCAGTCAAAAAGGCGTCAACATCCGTAAGTTGGTCCGTGATTCAAATATCCTTTTTTTGTAGAATCCCTTCGTCCAGTAGCAGACCCCTCCGTGATAATGAAATTCACAATATACTTAATTACGGTAAGTGCATTATGACACCAACTTTCTTTTCAACAATCGTGAAAATTAAATATTTATTACCATCGAAACTAGAACTTTCAACTTTTTTCCTTTCAGGCAGCGAGGAAGAGTCTGACGACGAAGACGAAGGGTCTACCCAGCAGTTACTGATGCCCCGGGTGGCAAGGATTTTTATGGACGAAGACGATGAGGCAATTGAGGAAGGTGCCATCCATATTTCTTTGGAGTGGCCTCCTCAATTCTCTCGTCCAGAGCCCGCCTTATCGACGCCCGACTCACCGTCTGTTGGACCTTATAATAAATTTGAATTTGAGTGGAGAGGGTTTGAAACGCCTCAAATTGAACCTCATTTGAGGCGAGAACCCAACTCCCAAAATAATAGTGGCCCTACGGTTTCTGTCGCGATTCCATATGAAGCATTCACTGCCATATGGAATCATGAAATCATGGACGAAATTGTGAAACAAACAAATATTTACGTCCAGCAACTATCAACTGCCATGATTACAAACGGCACCATGTTTCCCAACAGCCGCATAACACGATGGAAAGAAACGTGTGTAAATGAAATATACACGTATTTTGCCATAGTGTTCGCGATGGGAATGGTCGTGAAAAGCCGTATAGAGGAGTACTGGAACCTTTCAAGAGACATATTTAGCACTCCTGGTTTCCACAGTGAAATGTCTCTTGACAGGTTTCTACTCCTGTCCAAGTGCCTACATTTTAATAACAACAATAATTATGACCCTGCTGTGATGACACGTTCCGAAGCCAAATTATTTAAAGTCAAACCAATAATCGATCACTTGAATCGCAAATTCTCCGAACTCTATACCCTCTCCCAAAATGTGGCTCTCGATGAGAGTTTAACCATGTGGAAGGGCTGGCTTGATATAAACCAGTTCATCCGGAACAAGGCAGCGACAGTGGGAATTAAAACATACGAAGTACGTATGTGAATCACATACTCTTAAAATTTATAAGATACTTAAAGATTACTGTTACTTTAAAGAAATGTGAGTTCTGTAAAGACAGGCTCAGATAACTTGGATACATTGTGGATAGTAAAGGTTTACACACTGATCCGTCTAAATTAGAAACTATTGAAAATTTCAGACGTCCTGAAACAGTTAAGCAGCTCAGAAGTTTCCTTGGGTTGTGTTCTTATTATCGTAGATTCATTTGTAAATTTGCTGACATTGCTTCGCCACTAACAAGATTGACAGCTGGTAGTAAAAATTCTAAAAAAACCTCTTATTTGAAATAATGACCCTGAAAATGCTTTTCAAAATCTTAAAGAAGCCTTAAAAACCTCCCCCGTATTACGTTGCCCCGATTTTTTTAAACCTTTCTTTTTACATTGTGATGCTAGTTCCGTTGGGATTGGTAGTGTTTTGAGTCAGGAGGACGAGGATGGAGAGCAGCATCCCGTCGCGTTTTACTCTAGATCCCTTAATAAATGTGAACGAAATTATAGTACCACGGAACGTGAATTATTAGCAATTTTAGATTCAATAGAACACTTTAGGCCTTATATTGAAGGAATGGAATTTACCGTTATCACTGATCACGCTTGTTTAAAATGGCTCCTAAAATTAAATAATCCTAGTGGACGATTAGCAAGATGGGCTGCTAGAATTTCTCAATTTACATTTCATATTGTTCACAAAAAAAGTTCCTTACACTTAGTCCCAAATGCTTTATCTCGTATTGAGACATCTACAATTTTGGTTTCCGCTATACAAGTTGTCTCACCCGATGACGATATTGTTGACCCTTGGGATAGAAAAGTATTTGTTAATTGTCAAAAGTTCCCTTCTAGATATAAAAATTTCAGAGTTGATGACCACGCACTATATAAATTTTGTAAGAATAAATTCAATCTGGATAGTAGATTAAATAGGAAAATTGTTATTCCTAAGGAACACATTCTTGAAACTATTAGGTCAAACCATGATGATATTAATTCTGGTCATCTTGGGATTCATAAAACCATTAAGAAATTAAAACAACATTATAGTTGGAACGGCATGTTTAATGATGTTCAAAAATACTTAAATTAATTATAAGTAGGTACATGCTGTCTAGCAGGCGCACCCACTTGTAAATAGATCGACATGTGGTTTGAGACGATTTGATCCCGACATTCTATTTCACTGGAGGTGAGTAACACTGATGAGGTGACAGCGACCTGTGGGGATTCCACACGACAAAACAAGGTACTTACAGTCGTGATCTGGATTACAGTGTAATAGTTCACATTGGTAAGTTGATGTTCTGCACGAGGTAAAACCGACACCATTTATGACCTCTTTAGATCTGAAGGCTGGCTACTGACAAGTGACCATTAGAGAAGAAGACCAAGAGAAAACCGCATTTATCTGCCCTTTCGATACATAACAAGTTTAAACGCATGCCGTTTGGTTTGCGGAATGCACCTGCAATATTTCAGCGGTTAATCGACCGATATCGTACGGGAGTGGACGGTGTTAAGATGTTAGCCTACCTAGATGACCTCATCGTCCTCTCCTCCTCCTGTAAGGTGGCTCACCTTAGTGATCAGAGAGAAGTGTTCAGGCAGATGAAAGTATATAACCTGACCGTCAACAAGAAGAAATGTAACTGTCGTTACAAGGATAAAGTACTTGGGTCACTAAATTACCCCTGAAGGATTACATGTTGACCCCGTGAAAGCGGCCGCCATCATACATCTGCCTCCTCCAGCAAATTTGAAGCACTTGGTTACATTTTTGCAGACCTCATGCTCATGACAAAGGTAGTGTGGAGGTGGGAAAAGGAACAAACAGCCTTAAAACAAAAATAACTTCTGTCCCAGTAGTTGGGCAAGCCGACTTCACCAAACCCTATATAATAAAGACCGATGCAAGCAACTATGCTATCGGTGCCGTTTTGGTCCAGTGAGAGGGTCCAGAAGAATACCCAGTAGGTGTAGGTAAGGTGTGTGTAAGGAAAGTTTTGGATGGCGAACAAGACGATTCAAACGCAGACACAGGAACAAATAGCACGTACGATAACCGAAACGCAAATATTATTGTACTTTTATGCCAAAACGGTGCTTTCACAGAAGCAGAAGCTATGGGATTATTTGCAAAATCAACTGAAGGGATTAACTTTGTTTGTTTCAAACAATATGCAGAAAAAATCAGGACCTACCTCCACGTCGCAAGAGTTTTGGTATTTTCGGAATCGGTAAAACAGCGATTTGAGCTGGCAAAAAATAAGTTTGAAACGGAACACGGTCCCTTGAATGACACATCACAAGAAGAAATAAAGTTGAAATTTAAAGAAATTTTAAACATTAACAAGATCGATTTGGAAAAATTCTTTTCGAGTACCTTTAAACATTTCACAAGACTAAGCGAAAAGAAAAATAACCTGTTTTTCTTGGGCCCGCCTTTCCGCCGGTAAAACAATGATTATGAACAGTCTGGTAGAGTGTCATTTCAACTTTTGTAGACTGACCGGTTTAATTTCAAACAGCAGCTTCAACTTTAGTGGGCTGTTACATACAAACGCGTGTTTAATGGACGAGTGCAAGTTGACGGACAATCAATTTGAACAATGGAAGTTGTTGGCGTCTGGTTTACCAATGTCAACGGATGTAAAGTATACGGACAGATGTGATGTAAAAGACGTAGTTTTATATACATGTAGCCATTATCCTATAGAAATGTAAAGAGGGTTGTCCAACAAGAGGTGTTATTTTGAATCACCCGGTATTTCGGTAGCCGTCACTTTTGAAGCTTTTATTTTTTGACATTTTACAAGTAGAAACTACGCCATTACTAAAAATGGAACGATACACACTTCAACAACGCATTGAAATTATTAAAATTCACTACAAAAATGGTGAAAATCTTGCAGTCACAGTTCGCAAAACTAAAGCATTTTTTGGTCGTCGTGAAGCACCTTGTCGGTCTTCGCTTGAGGACTTCATAAGTTTGGGAAAGGAGTTAGGAGTTTTTGTTAATCGGAAATCTCTTAAAGATTCATCCAAACCTCTTAAATTTGAAAAGGTCCAACGCTGTCACGTCAGACAATACTAGCGTTGTGTGTTTAAAGTGTACGTCAACTGGTCATACGTATAAGAACTGTTCTTCTATTCCTATACCAGGAATAGAAGAACAGATTTGCTTCAAGTGTCAGAAATTGGGGGTTATCACAAAGTTTTGTGATGTGTGCAATTCGGCCAAGAGGAACTCAAATGAGTCAAAAAGCTGATTAGGTTCCATCGAGCTCCGGTTTCTAAGAAAACTAGAGATGTCTCGATGATGAAAAAAATTGTTAGTCACACTAAAGGGCCTGACAAAGCCACTTGCAGAAGGGAATTTTTGGACTGGTTAGACTATTTAAAAACTTTCTTTAGCACTTATAGGGCTGCGCCTGTTTTATTTGTTAATAATAAGTTTTAAACGCGCACGGACGTGTTTGAGAATTGCCGGAGGAGGAGACGGAGAGCCACAACGAACAACATCCTCAGACCAGGGAGAGATCTCCGACTCCCAACTGGGAATCAATCAGGAAAAATATCTACCAAAACTGTGTCCTGGGCCACATGGGACTATCGAATTTGAAGATGCAAGCGGATGCAGAGTCAGATGGGGAAATAACCGAGTGCGAAAATACTCCTTCGGAGGAGGAAGCCATGATCGAGTACCAAATGACGATGGATGCATGGGGCGATTATCTCAAGTCGGTTCGTATACAACACTCGTTGAAGGTAAATTTACAAAACCTTATGCAGGACCTTATAAACTCGTCGCTCACCATCAAGGAACAAGAAGACCCCATTGGCATGTCGTGTACTAGTCTGTCAATAAGCAGTGGGGATTTAATTCACGACTGGGGCGAGTTATTCGAAACGGAGCCTACAAGACTAAATCAGTTGACTGCCTGTCTTGTCTACGCGAGTATATTTATTCCGGCAATGGTCGTCAAGTATTACAAGACGGAACATATTAAATCTTGTCAGTGCGCCGAACATCATTGTGGAATGGGAGGGAAAAATCAATGGAAAATTGCGCAATACGAGGCTGATTGTCCCCAAGGGGGAGATACAGTATTTCGACCAGAACGCGTGTCATCTGAAGAAGGGGTCGATGGAATGGTGGATACAACTCTTCAAACCGATGACGATCAAAAAGGAAGACCCGGATATCAAATTACAACCAAAACAAGGAAAGTTTTGGATGGCGAACAAGACGATTCAAACGCAGACAACACAGGAACAAATAGCACGTACCATAACCGAAACGCAAATATTATTGTACTTTTATGCCAAAACGGTGCTTTCACAGAAGCAGAAGCTATGGGATTATTTGCAAAATCAACTGAAGGGATTAACTTTGTTTGTTTCAAACAATATGCAGAAAAAATCAGGACCTACTGTAACGGTGCATTTCGCACCATTACAGTAATTTGAACCTTAGACTTGTTTTTGTTTTGTTAGTTGAATTTTATGTCGTTTCTGCGAGAGCCGATTGTCGAGGGGTGGACGAGAGTAATAGTCGATGTTGTTCGCCCGCGATAATTTGTCGATTTAGTTTTTCTTGTCCTGGCAACATTTTTTTCACGTTCAAGGGAGTGACGAAGCTTTTGCTCTGGCAACACGTTAGCGTCACATTTGAATTTTCAGCCCGAGTGAGATGAGGCAGGGCGAGTGATTGTAATTTATTTTATTAGTAATCCATATTTATTTGATGTGGACGAGGGCCTATTTCCTCTTTAAATGTTTGGCCAACCTAGTTAAAGACTCGAGCTACTGGTTCGAGTGGTTATTTTTATTAAAGGTAAGTCTTGTTCGGCCACGTGCTTCATGCTTGGCTTGGCGGGATTAATGGTTCTAACTCTTTGTTTAATTGATTACAGGAAATGGTTATAATGCCGCTGCTTAGTTTGTGAAACATTTTGGGACCCTGGTGAGTAATCTATGGTATCTTGCCGGAGTTGGGATTCATCTTTTGAGATAGGCGAATAACCTATAATTTTTCTTATTTACAGATGAATCAGGGTTCTTAGTTTATATCTAAAGTCCTAATTATACCCTAATTTTCCTTTTATACCTAAATTTCTTTACGTTCAAATTATACCTTACTTTCTTATTGGATTGTAATGTCATTGCGTGGCATTCGGATTTTGTCTCTCCGCCGGCCTGATCCCAGGAATTTAGTTTGCTGTGGAGCCCTTATAATGGTAGAAAAAGCTGCTTAGCTGCATGCCATTGTCAGGAGCCTGGGAATGCTACCCCGCCTCTTCCACCACGTGGGAACCGGAGTGAGAAGTTTTTCGGAGTTGGTTTGCTTTCATTTCATTCGGACTGAACCAAGGTCATTGGTATGTGTTTTGTTATTTTTCTTGGCGTCGTGGCATTGGATACTGCAGGTCCCCAAGGGGTGGTATTTTTTTATTAGAGAGTAGGTCAATGCTACGACTACCCTTAGATTGTATTGTGTTGTCTATTAAGTCTTTATGCGATTTTTTTAAAAACCTATGCAGGTCCCCAAGGGTGTTATTTTTATTAGGGGAGTAGGACGATGCTACAACTGCCCTTAGATTCATTTCTTACTGGGTCTTTATGTGACTCTTAAAACATATTTAATCTTATATTGGTTTTTTTATTTGAAAGGATTGCATTGATGACAGTACTAATTTGAGTATAAGAATTACCTATTGTAATTAGAGTCCTAAGATACTTTGTACTCTTCAGACACTACGGGATAATAAACTGCCACTAGTACTTAACATCTTTGTATTTATTAGCTGCCCCCCGTCCTAGATTAAAGGTCTAGCGCTGACCGAGTTGTCCAAGGTATTTATTGTGTTTGTGGTTGGTTCTGTGTTCTTTTAAGGTGGTATCTGGCGCCCGAGATTTTTAGTTTGTTATTTTGTTAGTATTTGTGATGCCACCAGTTAGTTTTATTTGTTTAAAACACAAACCCCACCCATAAATATTTTTTTTTATTTTTTTAATATTACAATTGTCGCCAGCGCTCAGGGACTGAAGTAGTGTCTGTAGGTTAATTAGATAACTGATTAGATGCTGTCTTTACTGCATTCCACATTTGTATTACATACTTTGTGTATTATTTGCTTTGTAATTTTGTTACAATTGTGTTAACATTTAAGTGAGGTTATTTTCACAATTTTTCAACATTAGATTACAACATTGTGACTTTTCTTCACAATGTTATTTTTGCTTTAACAAGCAACAATAATTTAAGTTATACTGCTGCCTATTGTATTCTCAATTAAGGGTATAGTTACTGAAGCATTTTGTGTTACAATTTAATAGCTTTGAATGTTAATTATAAGTCTGCTCGAGAAACATTTTATAGATACCTCCACTTTGGAATTATTATACTATAACTTATTGTAAATTAAGATTGACTTAACTTAGCTTAACCTTACTGTTATTATCTAGTTACTAAAACTATTGTTAGTGGTTACTGCAATCCTTAAATCCTTTTTAATACAGAACTTAGATATTTAAATTAAAACTTAATTTTTCTCACTTCACTTTTAAATCAATTTAGACTTTTCTTCACAACATTTAACTTTTAAATAAATTTGAACCTAGCTTTTCACAACATTTAACTTTTAAATAAATTTAAACTTATCTTTTCACAACATTTAACTTTTAAATAATTTAAACTTAGGTTTTCACAACAGTTGACTTTTGAATAAATTTGAATTTATCTTTTCACTACAATTCACCTTGAATAAATTTAAACTTAATTAACTTTAAAGAACTTAACATTTGGACGGCTGTTTTGGAATTTTGTGGTTAATGTCGGTTTGTATTATGGACAATGAGGCTCCACCTTCAACGTCGCCTGCCAATGTGGATGTTGGCACAGTTGCTGATGAGTCAGCGGAGATGAGCGTCCCATTGGATTTGTCATATGTTCGTGATACTCCTGCTCGTGCACCAAGTCTGCCTTCGTTCAACAGCATGAATGAGCACGTTAGGAGGAATATGCCTGCCTATACTACAAAGCTGCCTGATTTAACTAGGAGCAAGATAATCTTTGACGGTAAGACCTGTGTTAGAGAATTTATCACTCGTGTTGAGGAATACTTTTTATTCAGGAACTTTCATGAGGCCGTGTTGATTGGTTCGTCCGCTGATCTGCTTGCTGGTGCTGCGGCCAAGTGGTTTAGGACTATTCGTATGGAGATCTCTTCGTGGGTTGAGCTTAAGGCTGCCTTGCTTAGACGTTTTGATAGGACGGACTATGATAGCTGTTTGGAGCATGAACTGCGCATTCGCAAACAAAAGCCTAGTGAGTCTCTTCCAGACTTTATTACGGAAATCATGGACATGGAAAGCCGCCTGGGCACTGCTATTCCAGAGCCGTCGTTGGTTACAATTATCAAATACAATATGTTGCCGGTTTATACACCTTACATGATTGGTAAACGGATATCTTCGCTCGAGGACTTCATAAGTTTGGGAAAGGAGTTAGAGGCTTCAGGTATTAGGAAATCTCTTAAGGATTCGTCCAAATCTTTTAAATTTGAAAGGGTACAGTCCAACGCTGTCACCTCTGACAGTACTAGCGTTGTGTGTTTAAAGTGTACGTCAACTGGTCATACTTATAAGAACTGTTCTTCTATTCCTGGTATGATTTGCTTCAAGTGTCAGAAATTGGGGGTTATCACAAAGTTTTGTGATGTGTGCAATTCGGCCAAGAGGAACTCAAATGAGTCAAAAAACTGATTAGGTTCTATCGAGCTCCGGTTTCTAAGAAAACTAGAGATGTCTCGATGATGAAAAAAATTGTTAGTCACACTAAAGGGCCTGACAAAGCCACTTGCAGAAGGGAATTTTTGGACTGGTTAGACTATTTAAAAACTTTCTTTAGCACTTATAGGGCTGCGCCTGTTTTATTTGTTAATAATAAGTTTTATTATATATATATAAAACATTTTTCAAAAAAGGTAATGTAACTGTGAAAAAAAAAGAGCTGTTTTTTTTTATTATTTTTCCATGGGTGGTTATTGACCCGACCATACACCGGTACCGGCTTATCGTTGAATTTTGGGACACGTTGTATATATTATACATATAATACATTGTTTTATTTTGTAATAAGTATGAAATAAACATTGATCGATATAATTATTTATCAACACACACATAGGGCCGCGCGCACATCTGAGTTGAACTATCTATAATTATTTGAACACATCTTTATCCTTCAGCTTCAAACAAGTAAATGATCGATCGTTACGACCAGTCGTTTCGTATATGAGCGACATTTTTGATGGGATCAATCGTCACGATTTTCATCAGATCGATCGTATAGACGAATCGTACCGTATATGGGGCCCTTAATGCAAGAGGCAGAGTAACTAATTTCCAAAAATGGGAGGAATTAACCCGGCTGTTAAACAGTGATGGCAGTGAATGTATAAAGACCACTGTAAAGTGGAAGAAAGTTTGTATAAATGTTTATACTGTCTCTTTTGGTTAAAAGCATGTGGTGATTATTTTATTTTGTATGCTCCTTTGCATGGTTTTAGGTATGGAGCGATTTTAAAAACAACACAAAAAAAAGCTGCACGCTTGCATAGGTCAGCTAATGCAACTGGTGGTGGGCCTGCTATGTTTATCAAGCTAACAGATTTCGAGCAGAGAGTATTGAAAATTACTGGTGTGCAAGCAGCTACTGGCTTAACAGTGGAGGAGGCTGGGTTACCCCAGGTTTTAACATCTTTCATTAATGCAGCTACTGTATTGTTTCACTTTATTGGTGTTTTATAAATTATATTTCTCTTACAGGTGATTAACACTCACCTGGATAGCGTTGAGCATATTGTCTCAACTCGGCAACGACATCAATTTTTAGAAGGTTAATAATGATCATTGTATATCAACAGAATTAATCAATAAGTTTTAGTACAGGGTGGCGCAATAGAACGTGCATATTGCATCATCTTTTTTCGCGGGGTAGAAAGTGCGCGGGCGGGGGGAGCCTGCATCGTTGGGTAGGCGGGCTCATGGAGTTTTAGTCACTATGAGTCACTTCGACGGGAAGCGTCGCGCATTTTGCGTGCGCGCATTTTACGAGAACTCTCGTTCATACATCGTTACTAGGCGTTTATATTGTTCTGAATATGGACTACGGCAAATTAGTAAAGCTCCGAGTGCTAATTTAATCAAAATATGGGTACAGCGTTTTGAAGAGACTGGTTCAACGTTTAAACCACAAGCAAAAGGTTGTCCAAGAACATCTAGGACCGACGACAATATTGAGAGAGTTATGCAGTCTGTACGAGGAGATCCACAAATGTCTACTCGTAAGAGATCGTCTGTCTTACACTTATCGCGACGAAGTTTGCAACGAATTTTAAACTTGGATCTTAAACTGCATCCTTACAAGCTGCAGTTAACACAAGAATTGAAAGAGTCTGACTTCGGAGCAAGGCTCGCATTTGCTAATGAAATGCTTAATCGATTTTCCAATTTTGACAATATCCTTTTCTCAGATGAGGCCCACTTCCATATCAATGGGTTCGTAAACCGTCAAAATTGTCGTTACTGGAACAGTGAGAATCCCAAACTCAAGCACCAGAAACCACTGCATAGTCCTAAAGTGACAGTATGGGCAGCAATCTCTGGTAGAGGAATAATTGGACCGTTTTTCTTTAAAAATGCGCGGGGGCAAAACGTCACTGTTAATACCGAACGCTATGTTGCGATGTTGGAAGGTTTTTTGGCTCCAGAGCTTGAAAATTCAAGAATAGTGAATTCTAGGACTTGGTTTCAACAAGACGGAGCTACCTGTCACACATCAAATGACTCCATGGCGGTTGTGAAACAGATGTTCCCTGGCAGACTGATTTCGAAAAGAGGTGATATCCCATGGCCCCCACGTAGTCCAGACGTGACGCCTCCT